AATCCATGGAGAATTGGCCCTTTCCCCAGTGAGCACTGGCCGTGTTGTATGAGACCCTGGCCTGATAGCCCCTTGTTTCCCTGCTTCTATCATGTGTGTTCTCTCTTTTCCCACTAAGATAAGATCTCATGTAGCTGTGGATGACTTTGCATTTCAGGACTGCTGTCATACCTGTTTTTGTGGTGCTGGGGCTTGAACCCAGGCCTTCATGCATGCTAGGCAAGCATTCTGCTACCTGAACTACATCTCAGCTCCTTTGCTTCCATCTTTTACATGATGCATGTGAAAGAGGAGTGACACAATGTAGTTTTGTTTCCACTGCTAAGATATATTATCTCTTCTTTCAGTAATTATTGAGGGGCTGGAAAGTTGGCTCGGTGGTTAAGGGCACTGGCTGCTCTTCCAGAGGACCCTAATTCAATTCCAGTCACCCACATGGCAATTCATACTTGGCTATAACTCTAGTTCCAGGGGATGTGACACCCTCACATAGACTCATATGCAGGCAACTCACCAATGGCCATAAAATAAAAATAAGTTTAAAAAAGAATTATTGAAGGAACTGTTGCAATTGCATGAATTCCAGAAGACTAAACAAGGCATCCCAGGATAATTTGCATTCCTCTTCCATGCTACAGTCACATGTCTGTAGGTGTATGTAGTTTAATGTCATCATGGTCAGTATCCTCAAAATCTGGGGGCTACATTACCACACCAGTGTCACTGGTGAGAAACATTTGGGTTGGCACACAGTGTTTCTGGATGTATTTTTGAAGGAACTCTCATGTGAGACATTTAGATTGCTTCAGCTTTTCACTGTTTTAGATAAGGTTGTAGAGACTAGTACAGATTTGTGTAGTTTAGATTCTTCCCTGTAGGAAAGGGAGGGAAGTTATTGCTGGAATAGATTCCCAGGAGTGAGATTAAGTGGGTCAGAAGGTGTGTACATTAATTTGACCTGGCTGACACACTTACCCAGTTAAAATCACTTTTCCAGAAGGGCTGCTCCAATGTACAGGAAGTGAGTCTCCTTATCTCTTGGCATAAGTAAGAGTGTGTCTGTTCTCAGACTCAGTCTTGCCAAGGCATAGGGCAAGGACTGCCCTGTCAGGGACTCCCCTAGAACTAAGGTGTGGCTAGGAGTATTCACCTTTGCATGCTTCAGCCGTATATAAAGCTGAGACCACTAGGGAAGTTATGGAGAAAGGCTGTCCCTCCTTCATGGTGGCTAGTGCCAGGCATATGGTCGTGACATATCCACAGATCCACAGGGTGCTTGCCAGTCTCTCTCTCTCTCTCTCTCTCTCTCTCTCTCTCTCTCTCTCTGTGTGTGTGTGTCTCCTCCCCACAGCTCTTGTGCAAACATATCACTGGGATGGCTACTCTGTCAGAGGTCTGCCTGCTGTGTGGGAGTTCCATCTTGCTTGTACTGCTTTTTTGTTTTCTTTCTTCAGAAATCCCTTCTGAAGTTTCTGTTGAGCAGCCGGGGAAAGGACGGAGGAGATAAATCACTTCATTGCCAAAGTGAGGACTGGACTTCAGATCTCCAGAACCCACATAAAAACTGGGCGGGTACTCAGAAGGCAGATTTCTGGGTCAAGGTGGCCGGCAAGGCTAGTTGAAGTTTGTGAGCCCTGGATTAAGCAAGCAGGATACCCTGGCTCAGTAAAGAAGGTGGAAAACAAGGAAAACAACCATGGCAGCTTCTGGCCTCCTCATGACCTTTCCTACAGTCTTAGTGTTGGTTTAGCCCTTTCCCTCATCTCCCTTCCTTCCTGTCCCTGCCTTACGCTTTTACTCCCAGTATTCCTGCTTCCAGTTCATAGCTTGTGTTCTTTTGTCACCCCAAACCCCTTTCTTGAAGCCGTTTTATTCCATCTCACAAGCCCCCTCTAGTTTCCTGGCTTCAACCTATATGGGATTGTTTGTGAAACCTCAACAGTGATTTTCATTGTGGCTGAGCAGTTTATGCTACCACCAACATTGTATAACGGCCCCTATTGCCTCAAACCCTTATCAGCCAGCACTTGGCTTATTTTATACTAGTCATTCCAACCGGGTGACATGAAATCTCACAGTAGTTTTAATTTGCATTTCCCTGTTGTCTTGTGATGTTGAGGACTCAAACAAACAAACAAAGCAAACAAATAAAAACCTAAAGCAACAAAAAACAAAAAACACCACAAAAATCAACCCACATATTTATGGGGGGAGGGAGGAAGAAAAGGCAAACCTTTAATCCCAGAACTAAGGAAACAGAGGCAACTTGAATTTGAGGACAGAATGATCTCATGGTGAATTCTAGGTGAGCCAGAGCTACATGTTGAGACTCTATGTTCATTCAGTTCATTGTCCTATTGATTGATTGGTACTTTGAGTGAGTGGCTTCTTTCCTTCCTTCCTTCCTTCCTTCCTTCCTTCCTTCCTTCCTTCCTTCCTTCCTTCCTTCCTTCCTTGTTTTTGAGTGTTTATTTTTTTTGCAACTTTATATATTAACCTAAACCCCTTAGTCTAATGTAGCTGGCAAAGATTTCTCTTCCAGTCTGTAGGCTGTCTGTTCATTCAATCTGTTGTAGTTGCTGCTGGTGTGTGTGTGTGTGTGTGTGTGTGTGTGTGTGTGTGTGTGTCATTTCATGGGCCTGTTTTTTGTGCTATTAGGGTTCTGTTATGTCTCGAAGTGTTCCCCATGCATTTCCTTTTCTCACTGTGAACTGTGTCCTATGCAGAGGAAGACACAGGGTTTGATTATGTATCTATGGCTGTCCTGGAACTCTGTGTAGACCAGGCTGCATTCAGACTCCAGAGATCTGCCTGCCTTGGCCTCCTGAGTTTTGGGAATAGATTTGTGCACCACAACTCCCCACAACAGTCTTTTTATATGTGTCTTTTGCTCCTTTCCATATCGTCACATATGTTTTCCTCAGCATTTATGCATGGTATCTGTCTTCAAGTCTTTGCTAATCCTATCTTTGCTGTTATTCCTTTGTCCCTTACGTTTTATTTCTGCTACCTTGTTACAGGTCCTCTTTTTTCTTTTAGAAATTTTTACTTGGGTGCCAGGTAGTTTTTCATGAGAATATTCTTCCCTAACAGCATGGTGTTATAAAATGCTTTATTATAGGAATGTGTCATTGGGTTATCTATGGTTGTAAGCTGTTAAAATCTGCTAAAATAATACAAAAACATAGCAGAGTTAGAGATACCCAGAGTTTGTGTGGCTGAACTAAAGGAAATCCTGTCTTCATCTGTAATTCCAGAGGGTTTTAATGTGATAGTTTAGTGCTGGGCTAGGCTGCCTGTGACCTGCAGGTCAGACCTGGTTCTGCTTGTTTTGCACATAATTTTCACTGGAACGCAGCCACATCCATCCATTTGTGTAGTTAGCGTCCCAGGCTTCTCACAGTATTCATAGCCAGTGGAAGAGTTGCACTAGAGCTCATGGAACACACAGATCTGTTTACTGTTTTGCCCTGGTATAGGAACCTATATTTCTCCCTATGTAATCTGGGGCAGTGAAGGCAGAGACTGTCATGCTAGGGTGCTGCCCAGAGCCTCCCATGGATGACTCTGTTCCTCTGTTCCCTTTCCTTGACCTCAGATTACTGGGTGGGGCTTGAGTTATCAAGTTATCAGTGTCACAGTGGAAGCTACCCCAGGAGTAGTCCTTGCCCCTTGCTAGGTCCCCTGCCATGCTGCGGAGGGCACATCTGCTTCTCGTTCACAGCAGCCACCCATCCGGAGGGAGGAAAATCTGGTGTGTGATGACTTTGTGACTCTGGGCATGGTGCCTCCTGTCTTGGACCCATTTCCCCTATAATGAGGAAGCTGAGGAAGCCCGGCCCAGCCTCCCCCTGGTTCTTTGACCTTTCAAACTTCCCTTGAGAGGTAGTTCTTTTCAGACTTTAAAAATGGGTGTTTATTTTGTTTTTAGTGTGTGTGTGTGTGTGTGTGTGTGTGTGTGTGTGTGTGTGTGTGTATTTTCTCTCTGTGGTGTGTATATAGAGAGGTTCCATGGTGTGCATATGGAGATCAGAGTCTGTTTTCTCCTTCCACTGTGGGATCTGGGGATCAGATCAAGTATTTAGGTTTGCATGCCCTTACCCTGAGCCATTTCGACAGCCTTCAGCTAAGACTTTTAATATGGGATTGTTTGGAAAGAGATTCCTTGCTCTGTTTAGAGCTCTAAGTGTCCCCATTCCTAGTGGGCAGGGCTGCACGACCCCATTGGATATACTGTGACTCTCAGGGCTCAACCCACTGGGTGGAGTTTCAAGGCCAGGTTGGGTTTAGGGCAGCAGTTCTCAACCCGGGGGTCAAATGACCTTCTCATAGGAGTCACTTAAGACCATCTGAAAACATAGCTTTTTACATTACAATTCATAACAGTAGCAAAATTACAGCTAATGATGTAGCAATGAAAATAATTTTATGGGGGGTCAGTGCAACATGAGGAACTATATTAAGGAATTGAAGCATTAGGAAGGTTGAGAACCACTGATTTAGGGTTTGTGCCTCCTGAAGGCCAATCTGACCTCAGGTTTAGTTGAATTATAGACATTTGAAGGAATTGCAAGTATCTCTGGTACTCTGTGAACTCACCTTGGGATTTTCTGTTCTTGGGATGTGCCAGGACTTAGGTGGCAAAGCATAGCCATTAGAAGTGCTTAATTGTCAGATGGAGCCCTAGGGGTGAATGATTGCTCAAAGCCTCAGGATGACAGTGTGATTTCTTCTGGCCCTTGTTCTCTACCCTGCCATCCGTCCACATCCTTCCTGGCTTGTTTCTCTGAACTCCACATCTCTTGTTTTCTCTAGAAACAGAAGCCGAGCCTCTGGAAAGGGGACCTTTTCCTAGGACACTAGTCTGTTTGGGAGCTGCCAGGGGCAAGACTATGGTAGCTACTTTCTCCAGACTTGGACAAATCACCTGACAAAAGCACCCAAAGTAGAAGGGAGTTTTATTCTGGCTCGTGGCTTGAGGGTACAGTTTATCATGGCCATGGTGGAGAGAGCTTTAGGTGGGTGGTCACAATCAGCAAGCAGAGAGATGAATGCTGGTGCTCCCCTCCTTTTTTTCTTTTTTCAGCCTAGGACTCCAGTCTGTGGAATGGTGGTCTTACCACCTCAGTTTAACTTCTTTGGAAACATCCAGAGATACGTCCTCTAGTTGATTGTAAATTATGCAAGTTGAAGATTAAGATTAACCATCACTGGGGACACACAGTGTCTTCAGTGCAGCAGGTGTGTGTGTATGAGGGGTTACCCTGGTGGCCCTTCAGGCCTCCACTCTGCCAGAATCCATGAGAGCAGGGCTCCAGGGTGTAAGCAAATTCCATTAGTCTTTTACCAGTTCTTTCAGCTTACCTGTTAGTAGGGCCATCTCTGTTGAGAAGGCCCCAGACTTGCAGAAAATCCACTTGCTAGACTGTTGCAGAATGAGCCTTAGACCCTGGGCTTCTGACCTGTGCTGTGTATTCAGTCCTTTCTGGATGGCATGGTGTTTCAGGGGGTTCCCTTGTGTTTGCTCATCTCTGAGATATCTATAAGGAGACCCAGGGGCCTGGTTCTGAGCATCAGCCTTAGTTAGTAGATTGACCAAGAACCGGAGCAGATCCTAAAAGTGTTGCTTTACTACTGATAGAAAGACACAATGTCTGGAGCCTACAAGAGTTGCCTAAGCACTTACACATGTGCTTAGAGCAATTGTGCAAGGAGCCAAGGCTGTTGAATCCTGGTGGCGCTTTTGACCTGCTTGAACTTTCTCCTCTTCCCATCTAGCAGGATTTAGATGTTCACATATTTTTTTTGTTTGTTTGTTTTGTTTTGTTTTCTGAGACAGCGTTTCTCTGTGGCCTTGGAGGCTGTCCTGGAACTACTCTTGTAGACGAGGCTGGCATCTAACTGACAGAGATCCGCCTGCCTCTGCCTCCTGAGTGCTGGGATTAAAGGCGTGCACCAATGACGCCCGGCAATGTTCGAACTTTTAATGCAAAAAGTTTATTTTGCTTGGGTAAGTACAACAGGCTTACCCTTATGGAGAGGGGATTCTTGCGGTTTCTGAAATAAGGGAAACCTGTGCAAACTTAGGCTGCTCCAGTAGGGCAGCTTCTTCTTGTTTTTGGAGGGTGTGATGGCTGTTCTTGGTGTCATCTTGACTATATCTGAAACTAACTAAAACCTAACCATCTGGGTGACTTGTCAGGTTTTTTTTTTTTTTTTTTTTTTTTTATGAAATCATTTGAAGCAGGAATACACACTTTTGATCCAGATCTTTTGAGGTGGGAAGATCCACCTTTAATCTGGGCCATACCTTGTGCTGTCAGCCTGTATAAATTACATGGAAGAAGGGAGCTTTCACTCTTTGCCTGCTTGTTCTTGTTGATAGGTCCATTCCTTCACTGGTATTAGAGCACACTTCTTTGGGATTCCACTGTATGCTGAAGACCACCTGAAACATCCTGCCTTGTAGATTGAGCAACTACTGTATTCTTGAACCTTCTGTTGGAAGACAGCTATTGTTGGACTCGCTGGGCCACAGCCTATATGGCACTCTAATAAGTTTCCTTTATACATATATGTATCCACTTGTTCATTCTATCAGTTCTCTTCCCATACAGAACCATGACTAATGCAGAGGAGCTTGTGTTGTTGTTGGTGTGTGTGTGTCTGTGTGTGTGTCTGTGTGTGTGTCTGTGTGTCTGGGGTCTTTCTAATTAGCTCATCCTAGGGAAAGTAGCCCAGAGATTCTCATTTAATAACCTAGGCCCTGGAATTCCTTGAATTCGCTGTGAGAGTCTTTAACCCATTGTCGCAGTGGAACCTCTTAACTCCTATAATTAAATCTTTACAGAGACTTTCAGAGAGGTCCTTCTGCTCTGCTTGGATCATAGACTCCAAGAATTCACCTTCTTAACACCTGGCTGTGTAAGTCATTTGCTTGAAGGTTGTGCAGCCTAAGACCTCCTCTGTGGAACCCTTTGTCGTTGGATCTGTTCATCTTCTGTTTGGGTGCTACTCACTCTTCTGTCCCCGTGGGTAGTGAGATAATGTGTAGTCAGGGGTAGAGATATCCAGGTGGGGTTCTCAAGTCTGTCACCAGCTAGGGGTGTGACCTCAGACAAATGGTTCTACATTTGTTCTGAATCTGTGTGGGAATTCTGGGGAGGAAGTGACAGGTGTGCCATTTACTCCTGGAGTTGTTATGTGCCTTCAGAGGCAGGTCCCTTCCCTTGTCTGGTCCTTTCACAGGCTCCTTGACCATAATTGGTCTCCAGAGTTTCTGCCTTGGGCAATATTCACTAAACCCATGATCTGACTTGTGGCTGTTAGGTTCCTGTCTTTCTGAGCTGAGTTAACTTCAGCTCTTTAAGATGTCAGGAGAAGGAGTCCTTCTTAGTCATTGTAAGAGAAAACATTGTTGCATGGCTGGAATAGAATAGAATACAATAGAATGGAATAGACTAGAATAGAATCTCCTACATGTCTCGAGAGAGGGTGTGTGTGTGTGTGTGTGTGTGTGTGTGTGTGTGTGTGTGTGTATGTGTGCTAGTGTGTGCCCATATGTGAGCATGTGTGTGACATGAATGGGAGCCTGCCTGCATCTTCACAGCTTTTTTATACTTGCTTTGGCAGAGACAACATCTTTCTATCTTTGCATTACTCCAGGGAAAAAATGAAAACAGCACTTCAAGGCCAGTGTGGTGGTGCCGCTTTTAATCCCAGCACTCTGGAGGCAGAGGCAAGAGGACTTCTGTCACTTCAAGGCTAGCCTGGTCTACATAGCAAGTTCCAGGACAACTAGGATTATATATAGAGAGAACATGTCTCAAACAAACAAAACACCGATACCGAACACTGCATGGGTTCGGTATCATCTAAGTATATGTGGAGTTAAGGCTGATTTAGTGTGGGGAGATAGTAACAGGATACTGTGGGGAGGAAAACAGGGTTCTGAGGGCCACTGAATGATTGTTTCAAGACATACTCCTTTCACCTGTCCACATGGTACCAAAGGTGGGTTGACTGGTACAAGTGGTTAGGCATAGGTGGACATCTGAGGAGAAGATCTAGATGATGTGAAGGAGGAGGCCAGGGAGTGGGGCCAGGCAATGGTAGGCTGTGGTGGAATCTTAGTTTCACCCCAGGTGTGAGGAAAGTGACTGGAGAGTTTTGAGGAGTGGAGTGACCTGATCATAGTCATGTTCAGCAACTGACAGCTCTGCATCTGAATTCACCAGGATAGAAGACACTATAAAACTGTTCATAATGAACAGAAGACTGACTTCTCATCATTCCTTAAATAATGCAATATGACAGCTATTTTCACAGTGCTTATATTCCATTTGGTGTTCTAAGTAGTCTAGACCTGAGGGAGGATATGTGTAGGTTACTCTGGGGACTTTGAGGATCTGAGAATTTTGGTATGCACAGGGGGTGTTAAGGCCAGTTCTTTGGCTACCAATTGACAGTGGACTTTTAAATGATGGTTCCGTTTATTGGAGTCCTAGGAACAGGTGGATTATGGAATCAGAAGGAAAACTGGTCACGCACACCCTTAAGTTCTGAAGGTTAAAATAAGCAGAGGGTGTCAGTTGGTGAATGTGGGGCCTCTTTCCTCTTGTGGGTTTTCTCCTAAATGTCCAGGCCCCTGGACACCACAAGGAGATGGTAACCATAAGGAGATAGTAGGCATGAGACTGGGGAGAGCTTTGAGGTCGGTGGTCATGGTATTTAAAGCTGTGTGAATCCTGGGTTGCCACCCTCCCCCTCTTAGACTGTTAAGTTTACCATCATTTAGTGGGGTCTGTAAGGAAAGGATAAATGGGCAAGTGGGGGAAGACAGCCCCAAGCTGTGTGCGCGCTTCGTGTCTCTGAACCTGAATGAAGGAGAAGGAGGAATGACCAACAGTGACCTTACTTCTGATGAGGTCAGATGAGAAAAAGGCCTCCACTCTGCTGAAAGAGAAGAAAGTCACTGGTTACCTTAAGGAGTGGTATGGTGGCCTGCTGGTTTGTTTTCTATGCCATTATGAAACTGGTAGGAGAGAGGGGACCTAGCATCCAGGAGAACAAAGACCTTATCTACTAAGACGCCGCCGTGGCATGGGATGACTCAGGGAACTAGTCCTCAAGGTTCAGGATGCTCACCCAGTGTCTGCTTTTGAGAAGAAGCACTGACCAGATGAACCAAGAATTGGGAGGAGCCCTTCCCTCTGCCATGCCTTTTGGTCTTAGCTTTCTCTGGGTGCCAGTGTTATGCTTTGTAAAATGGAGATGTTGGGGTTCTGGCCTGGCTTCATCTGTGAACGCTGGCTGAACCAGTTGTGGTAAGCTGTGAGCCCTCACAGAGCCATAACCAAAATTAGGCCTGTGTACATTTTGTGACAGTGATCTGTGATCCAGAGAACATGGAAACCGCTCAGGGTTTTTAATCTCAGGGCCTTTCCTTCCCGTTTCTGCCACACGGGTCTGGTGTTGAAATTAAAAAAAAAAAAAAAAAAAGTAGGCAGAGGGCACTTAGAGCTGGAGAATGCCATTTGGAAAGTTGAGCCACAGAGGAACCTAGCACTGTTACTGTGAGGTCCCGATAAATGGCATGGAAATGCCAGCATGCTGGAAAGCAGCGAATAGGGAAAAACCAACAGCCGAACAGGCCCAGTTGCAGAACATGGGGTATTTACTTTTATATGGAGAAAAAAAGAAAAAACAAAAACAAAAACAAAAGAAAACCTGCTCTGGTTTAGGACCGTGTGGCACATTTGGGTCAGTGAATACCTGTAGTAGGGAGGTTGAGGTTCAGTGCCTCTCTTGTGCTTAATGTGGCTTACCTTAGTTCATCAACTAAGACCCCTCTATTTCCTGAGCACTTGTGCATCTCATGCTATATGTAGTTGTGATATATAGCTCTGCCCAGTGACCTTGTCCATGTAGGGTGTCTGAGGGACTGAGATAGGAGGACAGGTGGTCTTGGGTTGTGCTTTTCTCCTATAGCCTTGCCTCACAGCTGGCCTGATCCATATAGATCTCAGCTGGGCCCAAGGCCTCTGATAACCCTGGCAGTCATCAGGAGTACAGAGTCTTGCACACTGACGTGAGTTGAGGGTGAGGATGGGTAAGAGGGAAGGAACAGCTTCTTGTCAGCACGGAGGCTGTCTCTCTAGAACAAATCTCAGGATCTTTGCCTTGGCTCTCTGGTCATGCAGCCGTCTGGGGTAGAAACCAGCCACCAGCCTTTCTGGGGAGATAGGTGCTGGCTATCTGCAGTCTCCATGTCCTTTTCATGGTATAGAGAGCCCCCGTCATCTGCAGGAATCAAATGCCACTCTGGACAGGAGACAAGCACACCCAACTAGAATGTAGACATTGTTCGTAGTACTGGTTTCTGACCTCTTTTTTTTTTCTCCTTTCTCTCTCCCCCATCCCTACTCAGTTGGCTGGAGTTGTCTTCCTTGGAGTCGGACTGTGGGCATGGAGCGAAAAGGTACGGGGAACCTCTGCCAGGCCCCAGGTCTCAGGCAGCCAGTCCCAGAGCCATTGGACTTGAATTGTTCCCTCCTCTAGCCTGTTCAGTGGGCACTAATTGTGCAGTGAAAGGTTTATAGCAGTTTAACCCTCAGAAAGAACATGCCTCTAAAGGTTGGCTCTGCTCCCAGAGGTGATGGACAGTTAGGTCAATATTGGAAGAGTAACCCCAGGGCTTGACAGCTGTTCCCAAGGCAGGCCTGGGGCTGCCTCCTAACCCTTTCTGTTATTTATGGGAACAAGTGAGCAGGTCCCTGAGCAGAGTCATGTTTACTCCCCAGGTACTTGTCCTGGCCCACAGAAAAATGGAGTAGAGCCTGGTTATCTGCCCCTGGCTTCCTAGGGTAGGTGTGTCTTTAAGAATCTGTGTATTGCTTGCTGGTGTGTGAGGAAGAGAAGCCAGGCTCTTGCTGTGTAGCTAGACCAAGGGGGCACTTAGTACTCTAGAGTTCCAGGGTTGAGATGGAGTCAGTTGTAGTGCTGCTTGTACCCTAGGTTAGTGTTAGTAGCTTAGGTTGGGAGAGCTGTAATTCTTACAGGAAGGAGGAACAAGTGGAACCCAAAGCTGAAGCACCCCTATTCCTGTGGTGGAACCTTATGTTGCTTTTTCCAGAAAAAGGAAACAGAACTCTTTGGTCTATGAACTTTCACATGATGGTCTTAGGATCAGAATGAGGTCTGCTCTTCAGCCTGGGCACCCTGATGGCAAAAAACGGCAATGTCCCAGTGACCTGGATGCAGCAACCAGGGCCTCTCAGCGCCACAATGTGGTTGTATTTGGAACTGCAGTAGGCTTGACCTGGATGAGCCCTGATCTTGGAGCTGACTCCACAGCTGCCTGTTCTGGCAGCCCTCCCCACTCCCCACTTTTGAATATCACAGAATCTATCTGTCAGTTGTGGTTGCCACTAGTTACAATAATAATTTCTAAATATTACATAAATACATATATGTTTTTTAATTTTTTACTGCTTTCTTTTTCTTTTTTTTGGTGTATATGCATGAGTTGAGGTCAGAAAACAGCCTACAGGAGTAGGTTCCATGCTCTCCTTCTACCATGTGGGTCCTAGAGATTTAACTCAGGTTGCCAGACAAGGCAGCAAGTACCCTTACCTGTTGAGCCATCTCACTACTTCCTAACTATATATGTATTTAAATAAAAATGATAAACCGTTTCTTACTTGTTCCTAGCCTTCTTCCACATGTCAATTGCAAGTACAGCCAGTGATTCTCTTTGAACAGTGCTCCTAGGATGCCTACATCATAGAAAGTTCTACAGGCATCACTGTCATTCATCTATTCTTGCTAGGTGTGTTCCCTCAAAATGTTCATTTTGAGGCTGCTTTTCACCAGTTTAATCATAGGCCATAGGACTCCTCTCCTCTGAGGCCTGGTCAAGGTACTCTACAGGCCATGGAGAGAGATCTGGATCTGGGGTCACAGGAGCCCCATCCTCAGTGTGGCCTGGGAACTTCATGGAAAGGATCTGGGGTCTGAAGCGATCAAGGATGCTAACTAGATTCAGGGGCTCTAGGAAGTGGTCAGTAATGTCCTCTAGCCTGGCTCTCGATAGCAGGACTGAGCCTTGAGAAGCAGGTTCCTGCCTTAGCTACTGACAGTTTGCCCCAGGGCCTTGATCCATTCTAGGGACACCACTACTTTTATTCTCTGCCTCTTCCAGGGTGTGCTGTCCGACCTCACCAAGGTGACCAGGTTGCATGGAATCGACCCTGTGGTGCTGGTCTTGATGGTGGGCGTGGTGATGTTCACACTGGGCTTCGCAGGCTGTGTGGGGGCCCTACGGGAGAACATCTGCCTACTCAAGTTTGTGAGTGGTCCTGGAGTTGAGGGTGGGAGGTAGTAGATGTTGTGGGCTTAGGGGTATGGGCCTACATCTTTTTTCTGGCCCAGGCAGTAGAAGCAGGGAGCAGTCCTTTGAACCTGCTGCCTCACTGAAGGAAAGATTCTAGGGAACAAACAGGCTTCCTGCCCCGCACCCCATAAGAGGAGCCAGCTGATTGCGGGGATTCTACCCACCTCCTTCTATTTACAGCTACCCTTAGAAGTTCTAAAGGAGTTGTTTGCTGTTTACCTTTGCCCTTCCTGGCTAAGATCAAATGATGTTGCCAGTAGCATTAAATCATTTCCCCCATCCTGGGTGTGAATCTGTTGGATGTACAGTGTAGAGTTCTTAATTTTCTGGCAGAATTATTAATAACTAAGAGTTTAGTTTTATATTTAGATACAACTTCATTTTTAAATGTATTCAGTTAAAATTAAATAGCACCTGGTGAGGAAAACACTTTTATTTTTTTCATGATTTATTATCTGTTGAGTTTATTAGGTCAAGCTTTCTTCATTTGAAAAGCAAAGCACACATTTTCCTAGCTCTCCTCCCACTTCAAAATACTGTGTTTTGCATCTCACTTCCTCCTGAGCAGGCTGTGTGCACGTGTTTGTACATGCTTATGGTTCTTCTCTAGTTTTTTTGGGAAGGCTCCTTCACATTTCCTAGATGTGGTGAAGCTTTTTAGTATCCTTTATGTCTGGGAGAACACAGACCCTTCAGACCACAGGCAGAGCTTCATCTGTGCCCTAGTGGCTGCATGGGTCCCAACAGAATGTTCCCACTGCCTGTAGCTGGGCAGCCATGTTTCTAGAGAGGTCTACATGTGGCTGATGACCCTGATTGCACATGCAGAGTGGTTACTGATAACACTGGTACCTCCAGAGAGGTGGCTAACCCTGCAGGGAGCTCACATGTCCTGTGTAAGTTATGTTGTCTCAGACAGGCTCTGTGCCTGAGTCTCAGTTGTTTCATCCCTAAAGTGGGAGTGAAAGATGAGATGTCTAGGATGGTTGTGTGGAGGGGTGGGAGCCAATAATGCCAGAGTGCAGGCTCCATATGAAGCAACTGACAAGGCTTTTTTTTTTTTTTTTTTTTTTTTTTTTTTTTGTCAGATAAGGGGAGGGGAATGAGGGCTGCCTCCTAGGAAATAGTGGCTTGGAGCTTTGTCCTCCCTCTTTACTCATCTTGGTTACCAGCTGTGCCATATGGGGCATGACTAGCAGTGAATCCCATTTACAGAGGTTAAGTGCTGTGCAGTGGGGTCCGTGGGTTTGCCAGGCTGCTGATGACTGACTCCACCTCTCTTGTCCCCATGCAGTTTTGCGGGGCCATTGTGCTCATCTTCTTCCTGGAACTGGCTGTGGCTGTGCTGGCCTTTCTGTTCCAGGACTGGGTGAGGGACCGGTTTCGGGAATTCTTCGAGAGCAACATCAGATCCTATCGGGATGACATTGACCTACAGAACCTCATCGACTCACTCCAGAAAGCTGTAAGCTCTGCCCCTGACAGGCCCCCTGCTAGAGCAAGCCCTTTCCCACCTCTAGTCACTCTGGGGTGCCCTGCAGCTAAGAGGGGAGGTAAGGCCTTCTCTCCTCAGAGTGGCTTTTCTGACATAGCATGGCAGGGAGGTAAGCAGGGCCACAGTCCTCCCCAAGATCTTGAGCCCTGTGGATAGAGAGGGAAGAGCTCCTCCCCCCAGGCTTTATGACTCAGCACAGGAGCTATTCCTATCTCCTTCCTTTCTGGGACCTTTTCTTCTTCCTGTTTGAGAATGGCAAACTGCCTGGAGGAAGCCTTCTCAGATGGAGGGATGTGACCTCTCACTTTCTACAGGGGGTTGAATAAGTAGGCACAGGTTGTGTTCCTCAGCCTTCCTGCCCCTTCCCCTTGTCTGCAGCTGCACCTGGAAGCTCGGATCACTGGCTGCTCCAGCCCTTAGACCCTTAGAATGAACCCACTCACTGTCTGCCACAGTGACCTGTTTGATTTGCCTCTCCCAGAAGCTTGGCTTCCGAAATGTCTTTTCTGTGGAACACTTGGTTCCAAAGAGAAACCAGAGAGCACTAAAAATAGCTGGCCCACTGTTATTAACCAAAACTTGTTTACCCTGTTGCATATAGCCTGGGCTCCA